TCCTGCTGGTCTTTCAGGAGACGCTTTTGTGCTCTGTCCAGTCCTGGACGTGCGGCCTTTGGACAACCAATGGTGTTAGGCCGTCCTGAATAAATGCCCCTCCCCCCCAGCAAACGCTTACGCTGGCTGCTTGCCCTTGCAGGGAGAGAAGGGACGGGAGGTGGTCTCAGTGGTGACACAGTGGGCCAAGCACAAATCTGGGAGCTGGGTATGCCTACCTCCTAGTCCCACCTCAGAAATGGCTTCCTCGTGCGGCCTTTGGACAACCAATGGTGTTAGGCCGTCCTGAATAAATGCCCCTCCCCCCCAGCAAACGCTTACGCTGGCTGCTTGCCCTTGCAGGGAGAGAAGGGACGGGAGGTGGTCTCAGTGGTGACACAGTGGGCCAAGCACAAATCTGGGAGCTGGGTATGCCTACCTCCTAGTCCCACCTCAGAAATGGCTTCCTGTCCGAGGCCTTGGACAGAGCCTCCAAAGGGACCAGTGACTTCAGCTGCCTCTGTTACTGGATGGCCGCCATGAGAGAGGCTGGGTTCACCGGGCTCTCGTCGGAGTCCTCGAGCAATGCAGCCGCTCGGTGTACCTCCGACCCAGCACCAGGCCTCTCAGACGGGGACCATCGCAAATCTGAGGAAGCTTTAGAAAGTCTACCTCTTCAATAAACTCCCGTACGTCTCTAAGGGTATGTCTGCCCTACAGCGTCATTCTGAAATACCTCATTTCGAAATAGTTATTTCGAAATAACGCGTCTACACACAAAATGCATTTTGAAATAGTTTTTTGCTGTTTCGAAATCGCGCGTCCACATTGATTGGACGCTGAATCGCATTTAAGGCCGGCCGGAACTGGTTCTGACAGAGCATCAGGTCAGAAGTTATCTTGTGGCCAGGGCGGTCAGCAGGGCACTCTGGGAAGGGCTGGAAGCCCCCTATTTCGAAATAAGCGTCTACACAGCGCTTATTTCGAAATAGCAATTTCGAAATTGGCGCTATTCCTCATGGAATCAGGTTTGCCAATTTCAAAATAAGCCCTCCGCTATTTTGAATTCATTTCGAAATAGCAGTTGGCTTGTGGAGACGCTAGGAAAGTTATTTCGAAATAACCGCTGTTATTTCGAAATAACTTTGCTGTAAAGACATACCCTTGCTCTTCCTACCCAATGCTTAATCTTCCCTGAGAGAGCTTAAGCGCCCGGAGCAAAGTCTGAGGTGCCTCAGAAATGCTACTTCATTGTTAAATACGGATGTTGAAAATCTCCTCTGATTTCTTTAACCGATTAGAAGAAACGTAGGATTTTTTTTTTTTAATTTTTTTGACTGTTGTGTTGGTGAAACGTTCTGGACTGACTGCCCTCGAGTCCCTTATGAAAAGGCCCATTCATTGGGATGGCAACATATTCCGCGCTATGAATACATCTCTGTGGGTTGGTGTCCCTTGCTAATAAGCTTTGTCCGATGGTTTTCATATAATTGTCCTTTATTTCCTTGGTCGCCCTTCCAGGAGGAGCTGGAAGAAGGGAGCTCATTCTCCATGGCTTATTCAGTCCCTTGGCTTCTCTCCTGAAACCAGAAGCAAGGGGGCATTCAGTGAGAAACAGGCAGTGTTTCTTTTTGATAGAGGCACCTCTTAGACTAGAAGCTGGACAAAGGTCACCTCTTAGAGGCTCCAAAACAGCCTTCGGTGGCTGATGGTCATGACTGACTCTAATCCGATCCAATTATAGAATCCCACACCAAACTCCCCTCATGCTTCCTGTGACGTTAGGTCAGATTTGCACGGACAATAGAGCAGACTTTTCTCTGACTTTCTCATTGTTCTTCTCGGGCTTTGTCCTTTCCTAGTCTTCTTCATTTGAAAATTCCCATATCCCGCAGGATCCCTTGAATCAAATGAAGGGCAGAGTAAAGGTGATCTTGGGCCTGGAACCTCAAAGGTCTTTAGGCATTTCACTGCCAAAATCGATAGGAATCAAGCACCTAAATATCTCTCAGGATTTGGGCCCCAGCAACTGTATTGGGTTGAGTCTGAGTGGGGGATGTCTTATGTGAGAAGGCATTATGCTGTAGTGTTTTAGTTTGAGAAGTTTGAGTTTTGCCTTAACTGCCTTTCACCAAGTTTATTTTATGACCGAATATATTATTTTTCCTTCACCAGCAAACTTCGGCATCAGGCACAGAGTGAAAGATTTGGATACAAGGAGGTAAAGTGTGGCTAATTTCTAAATATCGCTGTAAGGTTTCACTGCGGGCCTTTGATATTTACAAGCACGTAGATTAGTGTCGGTGACTGGAGGGGATTGTGAGGCATTTTTCTGGAAGGAGTTGGACTGACACACATTTATTATGTAGGTCAAAAAGCCATCAATGGGTATAGCCTGAAGTCACTGCTGCCCCAAAGAGTGATTTGGACTCCTAGAGACAGCTCTTCACTAAACAGAAGAAGATCGATGCTGCCGTGATCCATCTTCCGGAGTTTGATTTAGCAGGTCTAGTTCAGACTCGCTAAATCAAACCCTGAGGGTGTCCTTCCCAGCGGCTGGTACTCCTGCTTCTGCAAGGAGTACCAGAAGCCGACAGGAACATTTACTCCCATCGGCCTCCCGCTGTGGGAATGCTGGGGAAACTCAAACTAAGGTGCGTCAACTCCAGCTACGTAATTAATGTAGCTGGAGTTGCGTATCTTGATTCGACCTTTCCCTTTTTAGTGCAGACCCTGATTTCTAGAGGCAACTGTGTTGCTCACAAGAGGGTGATAATTTACCCCTGCACGGGAGGCCAGTGTGAAGTCTCGGAGCTTAACTCCCAGGCATCCAGAGTAGAGCTGCACGCGGCGTCTGAGATGCCAAGAGAGAACAGAGCTGAGGCACGGCTGGGAATTGGGTCTGGAGGGGAAGGCCCGGGGTAATTTAGTGCTGAGGATGCCATTGAACTGAATAAAGAGCCAAAGCAAAGCCAGTGCTGGGGAAAAGCCTGCCAGGACTACAACGGGGATCCTAAACAAGCAGCAAAGGGGCCCTGGGCAGTCAGGTGCTGCCCTCCACAGGGGGAGACCTGCCATTGCAGGGTCCAGGTGTCCATCCTAAAGGGAGCCAAAGGCTTTTATTTCTGGGGGCGGGGAGGAGGAGGAGAGGGGTCTGTCCGGGATGGTGTGGTCATATGCAGGGCAGGTCCCTCCCCCTACCTCTGCCAATGCCCCTCAGTGCGGACGGGCAGTCTGCCCTCCTTTTCCAGGTCGGATCTCCCACCCCACCCCCACCAACGCCTCTTGACCCTGGTTTACTGCTCCCTGTTTTTCCGGCTCTGGGATCCCTTCCGGCTCCATCACTGCTCCGACGTCCTGCCCTGTGCCGGGCCGGGGCTCTCCCACTCCCCTCCTCCCCTCCTCTCCCTCCCCCGTCGATGCGCTTCCATCCTGATCTACAGCCCACTCTCGGGGTTATCCCGAGTGGAATCGTGTACCACTTACTAGCTAGCCCTCTCCTGCTTGGGCGCTCTGTCAGGCTGTCCGCTTTCACAGGCCCAACGTTTGCTTCGTTAAAAATAACCAGTCCCATCGTGTTGAGAGAACAGGTTCTGATCCTCCTCTGCCGCCTTGTTTTCCCTCTTCTCCTGCAGGTGGTTTTGAAAGGGGATGCCAGGAAGTTAAATTTGCACGGGGTAAGGACGACCAACCTCCGCTCTGATTTCTACCCTGAACTTTGGGAACAGGTCTCGTGGGATTTCCTGCCCCCTCTGAGCCCCATTTCTTTCTGCCTTTGTTCCCTGGAGTATAAGGGGTAGGTCTGGCCAGACATGGGCTGTGAAGACCGGGTCTTTAACAGGGTTAAAAAAAAAAGAACTAGATAGGGGGTGGATAACTTGATGATTACCAGGGACAGAGAATAAAACAAAGAATGATCTTACTTCCTCTGTATAAATACCCGGCACACCCACATCTTGCATACTGCGTACAGATGTGGCTGCCTCATCTCAAAAAAAGAGACATTGGCATTGGAAAAGGTTCAGAAAAAGGCAACAGAAATGATGAGGGGTTTGGAACAGCTGCCATAGACTGGAGCGTTTCAGCTTAGAAAAGAGGAGACTAAGGGAGGATAGGATAGAGGTCTATAAAATCATAGCTGGTGTGGAGAAAGTGAATACGGAAGTTATTTACTTGTTTCCATAAGGTAAGAACTCGGGGTCACCAAATGAAATAAATAGGTAGCAGGCTTAAAACAAACCAAAGGAAGTTTTTCTTCATCAATCAACCTGTGGAACTCCTTGCCAGAGGATGTTGTGAAGGCCAGGGCTTCACCAGGGTTCAAAAAAAGAGCAACATAAATTCATGGAGGTTAGGTCTATCAATACTTTATTCGCCAGGATGGGTAGGAATGGTGTCCCTTGCCTCTGTTTGTCTGGAAATGGATGACAGGGGAGGGATCACTTGATGATTCCCTGTTCTGTTCCCTCCCTCTGGGGCACCTGGCAGTGGCCACTGTCGGCAGACTGGACACTGGGCTGGATGGTCCTTTGGTCTGACCCGGTCTGGCCGTTCTTATGGGCCCCTGGGAGAATTTCGCTGCCTGGGAGCAGATGCCTGTTAACAAAACTCGTTATCGTGGGGCTTGGAGGTCAGACAGACATTCACAAGCCCAGAGAGCCTGCTCAGTCTGCCCCGGTCTCTTTGTCTGTCTGCCAACGATGCTTTTCGAGGCTCATTTGGGTGACTCCGGGGAACGCGGATGCTAGGCAGGCCCCAGCGGGTGCAGCTGCACTCAGTGCGTGAACCTCTCCCTTCCGAGGGCTGTTTGTGGGAGCTGCCGAGGGCGCAGAGTGCGAGAAGGCGATGGCGGGGGGCCGGCTCTGTCTGGGCCAGCTGGGGCCTGTGGGTGCGACGCTTTGTTCGGCAGGCTCATTCCTCCCCCCTCTCTCTCTGTCTCCCCACAGCAGACCTGTGCCGTCTGCCTGGAAGACTTCAAAGTGAAAGATGAGCTGGGAGTGTTGCCATGCCAACATGCCTTCCACAGAAAGTGAGTCCCTGCCAAGAACAGCCTGCAGCCTGCTCCGTGCCCCCGGCTTGGCACCAGGCCCGGGGTTCAGTTGTGCCTCGCCGGCCCGAGGCTGGAGCCTTGTGCAGCTCCTGCGTAGGGAGAGGCCAAAACGGCTGGGCCTTCCCTACCTCTGGAGGGCAAAGATGTCCCAGGCAGCTCTGAGCAAGCTGGATCATCCTGTGCCCCCGGTCCCGGGCTACCCCCTCAGCCCGCCTCTGCTTGGGGGAGTCGCATCTCGGCCGGGTGCCAACGGGTCAGAAATACACTTCAGACCGGATGCGGGAAGATGGTTTCTTGCCCCCTGAGGCGCGAGGCTCTGGAGCAAGGTCCCAGTCGGAGCCGGGGAGGCGGGGGGGAGATAAGGAAGGGGCAGCTGCTTTGGGCAAATTTGAGCGGGATGATGTGCTGGCAGCAAAGGGCTGGCCGTGAGGACGTGGCCGGGCCCTTCTTGCCCCAGGGCCGAGTTCTCTAATCAGCCCTTTCAGCAGGCACCCTTTACGGCTGCACCCCCTTCTTTCCCCTCCACGGCGTGAGTGGGAACAGGCGCCGCGGATTCCGTGGAGCTGTGGGTGCCACCCCAGACGAGATCCACGTTACAGTGCCGACACGGCAGCGTTACCCCTGCCCGCCCCCCCACAGTCAGTAGATTTGCCAGCGGAGGGCGGGAGGGGGGCAAAAGGGTCCCTGCATCTGCCAGAGCCCCAGTGGGAGGCCTGGGCCCTTCAAATTGACGCCGGGGCCCTATGGCTCCTAGCGGCCATGGCAGGAGCTGCAGCCATGAATGGCTGGCTCCGGCAGGCTGGTCCCCTTCCGCCCCTTGTGGGGGGCGATCCCCGCACTCAGAGCCACCGCTGCACCCATCGCGGCCTCCTCCCCACCCAAAGCCTGCGTCCAGCGAGAAACACTGACTGGGGAAGGGGGCGGGGGGAGGTCTGCGTGGGAAGGGTCCCCTTTCTGAGCACCAGGGAGGGACAGATGTACAGAGCCCTCGGTCCTGGAGGCTGCTCGTGCTCGCACAGGTCTTGGGATCCCTGAAGGAGGTGAGAGAGGCACCGTGATAACACAGCGGCCTGCGGGGGGGTATGGACCACTGGAGCGCTAAGGCGAAACGACTCTTCCCGTTGGGGTGGGCACATGCCAGTGGCAGGAGCCTGCTGGGTTACGTGGGCCCCTGATGTTCTACGGGGGAGGGCAGGAGGGAGGAAGGTGATGGGCTCAGGAAAGTCACGTCTGCCCTAAATCCCTTCCCGCTCCCCCGTCCCTCTGTCTTGGCTGCAGGTGTCTAGTGAAATGGCTGGAGG